TTCTCACAGTAGCCACAAACAAAGGTACTCTCACAGTAGCCACAAACAAAGGTATTCTCACAGTAGCCACAAACAAAGGTATTCTCACAGTAGCCACAAACAAAGGTACTCTCATAGTAGCCACACACAAAGGTACTCTCATAGTAGCCACACACAAAGGTATTCTCATAGTAGCCACAAACAAAGGTACTCTCACAGTAGCCACACACAAAGATATTCTCATAGTAGCCACACACAAAGGTACTCTCATAGTAGCCACACACAAAGGTACTCTCACAGTAGCCACACACAAAGGTACTCTCACAGTAGCCACACACAAAGGTATTCTCACAGTAGCCACACACAAAGGTATTCTCACAGTAGCCACACACAAAGGTATTCTCACAGTAGCCACAAACAAAGGTATTCTCACAGTAGCCACAAACAAAGGTACTCTCACAGTAGCCACACACAAAGGTATTCTCACAGTAGCCACACACAAAGGTATTCTCACAGTAGCCACACACAAAGGTATTCTCACAGTAGCCACAAACAAAGGTACTCTCATAGTAGCCACACACAAAGGTATTCTCACAGTAGCCACAAACAAAGGTACTCAAACTTACAGCAGACACACACAAATGTACTCACTCTTACAGTAGCCACACACAAAAGTACTCACTCTCACAGTAGCCACACACAGAGGTACTCTTACAGTAGAAACTCGCAAAGATACTAATTCTTAGAGATGCTACATACAAATGGTACTCACTCTTACAGTAGACACACACAAAGGTACTCATTCATACTCTGAACACACACAAAGGTACTCATTCATACTCTGAACAAACACTAAGGACCCACTTATACAGTAGTTACACAGAAAGCATCATACAGTAGGTGGAGTATGAAAATTAAATGAAATGAACTGAAGCAGTTTCCGAGATGAATTTCTAATCTTTAACAAAAGCAGCAGCAGCAGCTGCAACAACAACAACAACAACAAAAACAACAACAACAACAACAACAGCTACAATGCAGCAACAACAACAACGCTGTGGTGGGAATCTATAATTTTGTTCAGGTTTTTTTTAAAACTCAGTTTACAATAAAATACAATGTTGACTCATATAGCTTCCTGAAGTCCGTTCCTTAGGTTAGTAAAATCACCGCGGTGTCCTTGTCTTCGCAGATTCAAGAAGTGGACAGGTCTGGGTGCCTCCAGCGCCAACGAGAACGAAAACCCTGATGGTCAAAACAACCCCGAAGGCCAGTTCATGCCAGGCGGTGGACCAAACTCCTCTGACCACATTCAAGATTTCCCGGACAGAATTGAACGTCTTCTCCAGTCTATTAGCTCTGTCTACATGGACAATGTAAGTTCGATTCTTTCTGTTGTTTTGTTTAGGTTGGTTTTTTTTACAAAGATTAAAAAGTGGTTTTATTTGTTAAAAGCAGCCATCCACAGCTTTTTGTTCTCTAACATCTTCTTCTTCTTTTAGCATTAAGTCTCCGTGTCACCCCCATCCTATAAGTTATTTTTTAAAAAGTTCTATCTCAACCAGAGTGGGAACACACACAGCACAGATATCAAATCTTCCTCAAAAGCAACAAAAACAGCATCATCATCATCATCATTATCATCAGCAGCAGCAGCAGCAGCAGCAACAACAACAACAAAAGCAAGAGCAACAACATCCAACAGCAACAACAACTAAACAACTGCAACTAAAGCAACACCATCATCAGCAACAGCAACAACAAGAGCAACAAACAACAGAAATAACAACAGCGACAACAACAACGACAACAACGACAACAAACAACAACAACAGACGGCCGTTACAGTTAGAATTTTTTTTTAAACAAAAAAAACTACACCAGTAAAAATTAATTATTATCATGATTGTCCAGGGGACTTCATCCTTGGATTCTACTCGGAAATTACAGAACCTTCTTATTCCCCTTGCCTCCTTATTTTAACGCGTGAGAGCACGATGTGTCAGCTTGTGTGTGCATTGACCTGAAAACGGTGACGAACACTGGATTAAGCTTAATTTTAGGCATAAAACCTATGGATTTCCGGGGTTTGAGAGGAGAAAGGGTGGACAACTACGCCTTTGCGTTATTGTGAACCGACATAATTATGAGACGTGAACAAACTCTTTTGGTATTTTCTTGTGGTTTAATAATGTTTTGCTTGTTTTGTTTGTTTTGTTTGTTTTGTTTTGTGTTGCTTTTGCTTTTGTTTTCTTTTGGGGGGGTTTTAAACTAGGAAATTATTTTCAATGAGAGTGAATATACGTATAATAAGTAAAGGAAATAGAAAGAACCACCCGTAACAGCCAGAGCAGCAACAGCAAAAACGACACCCAAACAACAATAACAGCAACAGCAACTCCAGCAACCTTTAAGTAACAACAGCAACAACAAGAACAAACACAGGAACAATTAAAGCATAATGTGGAAAGAGAGCCTATAAACGCTCAGCAACAATTATATGAACCGTAACAATGAGTTCTCCATGGGTTCATGTCCCCACAGTTGGTGTAAAATTTGAAGACGGTTGCAACCCTTCACACCACGCTACATGCATTGTAAACATCCTGTTTTAACCTTTTGACTAATGTTTATAATTTTTGGACTACCCATCTTGTCCCTGTTTTTCACGTTCCCCTTTTCCCTTAGCCAGACATTCTAATAAGCACAATACACAATACTATATGTACTACTCTCTTTATGCCCCCCGTCCTTTTCTTTCATCCCCCCACCCCCCGTGCCCCCAAAAGAAAAACAAAGTCACACACAATGTGGCACTGCTGTGACAACGAGCACTGTATGCTTATAAAAATCCGGTGATACTGGTATTGAATTTTCAATTGAGAAAATTCCCTATAAAAAAAACATCTCTATCTCACCTGCAAAATACACATGTACACACATGTTCACCTCTGTCTGTCTCTCTCTCTCTGTTTCTCTCTCTCTCTCTCTCTCTCTCTCTCTCTCTCTCTCTCTCTCTTTCTCTCTCTCTCTGTCTCTCTGTCCCTCTGTCTCTCTCTGTCTCTCTCTCTGTCTCTGTCTCTGTCTCTGTCTCTCTCTCTCTCTCTCTCTCTCTCTCTCTCTCTCTCTCTCTCTCTCTCTTAAAGCGTATCAACAAAGTCGAGATCTGAAAGGACTGGAGTAGTACTTAGGTAACTTACATTTTTAAAGACAAAGCAGTATCAAGTATGCTGCTTAAAGATCGTCTGTCAAGACTAAAAAGCAGATAGATCAAAATTTGATGTGTTTCCTTTGTGGGAACGAAACAGTTTCATAATAATAATATGCTTGCTTTTGTGAAAATTTAAAATAAAACACCCCCTCCCATAAAAAAGAAAAGAAAAACCCCAACAAAACAACAACAAAAAACGAACGAAAAACAAAACTGTTAATCAAGAACTTTAACCTTTGTCGTTTCTTGTTGTTTATATTTTCTTTCATTTGTAGGAGCTCAAAGATTGAGTATGATCTGCAAGATTTTGTTACGATTTCTGGAAAGCAATTACTGAGTAGAATCTTTAATTGATATCTTTAAAAAAATCTTTGTGCACAGGACAACCTTGGCCAGCTGTACCAGAAGAAGCGTCTCGACAGCCAGAACATCAACAAAAGTATGCTGAGGTCTGGCCGCTCACCGTCACCAGCACCTGGCCAACAGTTCAGAGGCAGAAAGGACAGTTCGGACGTGGTTGCCAGGGTGCACACAGACTAGTCACTACCTGTACCTGGCCAATAATTGGTCGCGTTTAAGGACAAGCGGGCTAACCCATGTTTCGGGGGTTTCCAGAAATCTTGACCTGCACCAGAAGTGCGCCTTGCCCTATCTATATATAATGAGAAGTTTGGTTTCATTGGTGTGTATATTTGTTTGGTTATAGAGAAACTTCTCCTTATCTTTTAAAAAAACTGAACAGGGTTCCAAAAACGTTATCTTCGATTTTCTCAAAACAGCGTTTTTTACGGGATAGTCCCCTTGTGCTTAAAAGCGACCAATTCAGGGGCAGAAAAGACAAAAATTTTCATCTGACGTTATTGCCAGAGTGCACACCGACAAGGCAAGATCAGCAATTTATTTCACTGGCTTGTAGCAAATGAAAAATACTACACGCGTAGTCTTTTGGGTAAAAAACCAAAAACATTTTGCATTAATTTGTTAATATGAGGACAGCTTCGAAAAGCAGTGACTTTTAAAAACCCTTTTCAAATCAATTTTCAAAGTTTATTTGCATTTTGAAGTTGTGTACAAAGCCGAAATTCTTTTTTTTTTTTTTATATCCTTATTACTTTAGACACAATTCGCTTCTGATACCACATAATTTTCTTGAAGACATGATACCATTATGATGGCTCAAAACCTTAACGCCCAAAGATAAATTTAAACAAAACGAGTTTTAAGTAGTTACTTTTGGGGTGAGACCAAATTCATCTTTACGTCATCAGCAGTGGACAATATTATTGCCTTTGTCTCATAGTAGGGTGGGCACAAGAGCTTGGTAAATTAAAATCTGAATATGGCCTGTTCTACCAAAGCATGGCAAGACTATTAGATTTATAAGGTAATAAGCAGAAGTGTGGGAAAAGGGGGGGGGAGGGGGAACAAAAAAAAAGTGGAGAATGCTTGTTAGCGGGGACGAGCAGGGGAGGGTGGGGGATAAAAGGGGAAACGATTTTTACTATTTTAGTTTTAGAAGAAGATTAAATCATTATTCCAGTTTTAAAAAGGAGTGACTCTTCGTAGTTTTGTTGTTTCCATACTCTACAATTATTGTGATAAATGTGCAATACGTTTTCTCCTTCAAATCCACTACACTGTTCTTTCATTAATTTCAAGCCAATATGATATAGTCGTTTACTAAGTTGCAACGTTTTGATTTCAACTATCGTGATCTTACTTCTATACATTGACAAACGACCGGAATTTCTTTGCAATTCCAGATGGTAGTGTTTTTCTTTAAGACTAAACTTTGTTGTTTACTATGAATATGATTCTTAAACATTCCCAGATCAGCATTCCGTCCACTTTACATAAAGAATTGTTGTTTATCTGGCAAACTTACTATACCGTCTTAGTTTCAATAATTGTTTTTCTGAAGAAAAAATAAACATTTTATTTTGATTTTAAAGTATATATTTTCCATTTTCTCAGCATATGCAATATTTTGTTTTAAATTGAAGATGGCATCTTTCTTAGCCCTAACAAGTTATGTTTTCTTGCATAGTTTCTACGTATTTTTAACTGTAACTCATTATAGTGTTATTGTTGTTAACTTGTAGAGCCTATGTATTTTTAAGTTTCTTGATTGTCTGTATCGATCCGGAGGTCACTCACCTTAATCGCAGTAGATAAACGTTTTTAACAAGAACAATAGTCTCTCCAGTAAACATCATGGCTTTCAGTTTCAGTGAGATGTTCTTTCAAGGGGACAAAATAAATAGATGAGCAGTCGGAATATGGACTCGTTTTTTTTTCATGCTTACCCATTTGTATGTGCTTCGTGTTTTCTAGCTGTTCTCGTCCTTTTTCCCATTTTTATTTTTGTCCACTTTCTTGGGATGATTCCAGACCAAATTATGTGAGTGGTTGGCGGGCGCTTTGATGTGGTTTGCTCCTTTTTTCCTGTCAAACATCTATGTCTTTGACTCTCCTTCTTTTATTTGTGTATTACTCTCTATTAACACCTCTAATTTTTGGCACTTATATGACCTATATATGTTGCAAGTGCTGTAAAACCTAAACTGAAACTAAAGAGACAAGTTCTGACAGGAGCACCGGGGATCAATTACTGTGGCATCAGTAATGTAAGGTATTGATGTACAGTACCTATAAGCACAATACAGTCATTCAAGATGCTTGATGGCCATTTCTTAAATTGTAATGGTTGTTCCTAATAGAACTGAGCCACGCTGGTCAAGAGTCTAAAAACATCTCCACACCATCAGATTAAACTACAATGCTATTTCATGTGAGGCATCGTGGTGAAATCAGGCGCTCGTCAAAATAGTAAACTCGAAGAAACTAGCATTTTCTCGTAGGTTTGGCAATTTTTATCGAATCTTTCTTTTTTGGCCAAGCACCCTTTTCAGTCGTCCACATACAACACACATATTATTATGTGACGATTTTACAGCAAAAAAAGGGACATTGATTAAAGCAAAAATGTAAATTTTCAGTTTTCAAGGACTCTCAAGCTATGGAAGTCACCAAGACTTGGTGGCCGTTTATTCACTAAATTTACCTCTGAAATGAGGCAACCTTTACCTTCTTTAATCACAATTATCTCAACTTCTATACAGGACAGATTGGTATTTCATTCATCAAAAAGCAAGACACATAAACAAGCTTTAAGATGATACCAATAACTCCATATGCCCAAGAACCTATGGCCGCCTGATTCCACCGCGTCGTGACACATAATACTGTCTCCCACTTGACTATGACAGCCACGATCCCTCTAGCTATTCTCTGGCTATAATGTACATTAATCAAACAACACACTGAGGCATCTTGAAGAAATCTGGGGGGTGGAGTGTGACAGGTAGAACTCACGACAAGTAAACAACGGTATCAATAACAACATCATTGTGGACAACAGCCTTTCTTTCTCTCTCTCCTTCTCTTTCTCTCGTACTGGAATACATAGACGCATTAACTACTAGCCATACACAGACACATACACCAGCAGGTTCTTATGAGCTATAACCGTTTGTTACCTGTATTGCAGTTCTGGATGTGACAATAGTGTTTGACTATGGCCCATCTCTCTTTTTTTGTTTTGGTAAGTGTTTTAGGCGCTCGCCACTGCATACGGTCGTATTAGCGCGTGGGACACATTAAACATTTTCAGTTAGGCTAGGTAAGAAATTTTGAATTTTGCACAGGTGGCGGCCGAAACCTACTCTTATCGATTTTGGACCACCAAGGGATCTTTAACGTGCACAACTTGCTCCGTTTTTTTTGTCCTTATCCGAGAAAGCTAAGTGTTAGATCTTTCCTACCATAAGATGAAGGGTGTGGTTGAAAGACAGCAATAAGAAGGAGCCATGGAGTAGCAGTAGAGCGACCGTAGAACGAGTCAGGAGCCCAAAGGAGGGGGGAACAGATGTAAAGGGGTGGGGGTAGAAAGTGGAGACGACAGCAGACGATAGAACATTGTTAGAGAGCAGGAAAGGAGGTGAAAGGAGACAATTTTAGAGAAGGAAATTTTCCGTCGCTATTCGGATTCGCACCCGAGACCTATTGAACGAGAGGCGAACACCGTAACCTCTCGACCACAAGAGCCCCCGGCCCATCTCTTGATAAGGGTCGTGTTGGTGGATGAATAGAATAACGAAACGACAGATCAAGACAGGCAAAAACGAACATGGACTATTGTGACAACTGTCTTTTTCTGTCGAAAGATAATATGGACTAAAAAAACTATGTTCCACCCAGTGGCTCCCCCGTAAATTAAACAACACGGAGTCAGTTTTTGACACGATGGTGAAGGATGTGATATTCTACTATCCATAAACTTGTCATAGACCCAACGAAAAACTAGAAATTAATAATTATCATTTGGAAAAAACCCCACCTTCAGGATGCAGCTGGGACATCTCTATTTATGCCTGTGGAAATTCTAGAGAAGATAATATGCGCAATTCTAAAGCTGGCATAACAAAATCAGGAACTAGGCGTATATACCTCTCGTCGCTCCGCCACTGATATTCTGTCATGTGGATTGATGAACTGAGAAACCGTGAAAGGCATTTAGAGGAGCCAGACCCAATTCCAATAAATATTGATATCTCAATAAACACACTTAAGTAGACTGCGTTTGAAGGAAAGCCTCCGACATGAATAAGATACGAGTGCGTCAAGAAAAGACCAACTCTCGTGGGCATGTTAACAGAACTTTATTTTCAAATTTGTCACGTATACGTTTTGTACAAACACTTTATGATTGGTTTTTAAATTTTACAGACATGGTGAAATATGTATGAGCAAAACAGTAGTCCCGGAGAGGATATTGTCAAGCACTCTCTAACCGGGGGACTGATATGATAAGACTAGTCATTGTGTGCACACAATCCAACTCGCCAAAATCGAAAGGTTTACTTTGGGTTGTTATTTCAGCGTCAACAGACCCCGAGATCCCAAAGAGAAAGTTAGGTTCTTTTCGTATCTCAGCATTGATTGGCGTCTTATCAGATTATTACTGCGTCGATAAACTGAATTGTGTGTACAATCCCTAACTGGATAAAGGTGGTTTAGCAAAACGAAAGCAGACATAACAGGTGATCAAAGGGAAGTGGCGAGACAGAGTCAACAAATTGAAAATGCACACACTCAAGTTTAGAAAACACGTCTGAGAGGCAGATTGTATCAAACAGACTATACAAGAACATAGAAACTAAATCCAACAGTCTCTCAATTGACAAATCAACGGGAATTTAATAGAAAATGATCGACCAAGCCAAAGGTTTGTTACACATGATATCATTATTATTATCATCATTATAGTGGTAATGGGCAGTCAGTCGGAATTTAGGGAAAGTCAAACACAACAGCATATTAAATCTGTTGTCTTTTCAGACACACATGACATAAAAGTTTTGTATAAACACAACAGTATAGAAAAAGAATGTGTTTTCTTACTTCAGTTGAAAAAAACAAACCCGAACTAATCTGGAGCAGTTTTCAAAATATGAAAGTTTACAACGTTACATAATGTAATTATTACTAGGTGCTTATGATATTATATTCCATTTTCCGATTTAGTATTTTTAGTAGTCTCTGTATTTTTTACTTACTATGTAAAGGCAAATATTGTTCTTCAAAATAATGTTTTCGAAAATATTTGCATGCGTATAGATCCGCATTCATGCACAGGTAATAATAATGTCAAACAGGCGGCAACACCCCCCC